GATCAAAACGTTTATTAACCTTTTCGCTCCGGGGATTTTTCCTTTAAAATTGACCTCGCATTTTAGCTGAAAAAGTTAATAATAACCTGCTACCCTTCCCTTCAAAGTTAATTTTGAAGGTCAAAGAAGTAACCAGGATTTTTTTCAATTTTTTTTCTAAATTTAGTGCATTAAATTGACCTTATAAACATCTATTACGTTCGCTTTTCTTGCTGGTCCATATATGGACCAGTCCCGGAGCGAAAAGGTTAAAACTTTTAAAAATCTTCGAATTATAAAAGAATTGTATCCGAACATCTGATGTTAGCTTGTTATTGCCATTTTCTTATCTCTTTTTATTTAAATGTTTTTTGTCGCGGGAATCTCACGTGCTGTCGGTCAGCAGTCGCAGCGTTATCACGTCTCAATGGTACGTAACGTCTAAAAGGCCGTCTACAATGGGAGTAGGCAGTATAGAGTTAGAAGTAAGGTTCTTGGAGTTATTTCATTTTTGTCTATACAAGTAATTATTTTGCGTTTTTAACACACGTCTTTCATTGGCTACCATTAAGGCAGTAGGCAATACGAAATGGGAATTGCCCATTTCGTTATTCCCGTTGTTACTTCACCGAAAAATAGTTTACTCTCTACTCCTACAGCCTTACTACTCTTATTGTAGACTAGCTATAATTTTCCGTACAACATCTACTCTTGAACTTTAAAACGCAATATTTTGAAAACCGTGAAGCTAAGCTTCCTGAAATTCAACTATGATATAGTAAATATTATCCTCAATAACATATTAGTTTTTAAAATTTTCTAAATTTTGTTTCGACGCTATATTCAAAATATACTTTTTACAATAATCTCTCCATAAGAATCAATGTTAAAAGTCGCAACTTTGGGAATTTATTTGTCGACTTCGATGAAGAGCTCTCTGAAATTCTGATATGTTGCACATAATTATTACACTTGGTAATTTTCTCAAAAAATTCTTAAATTGTTGAAAAATCACGGTAACCCCCTTAAGAGTAAATAAAGTTTTTTTAGAGAGGCAGGGCGAAGCCCTCTCTGCCTGCACGTACGATAGTGTGTGAACAAACAAAATATTTACTTCTCAAATGTATCTAGATCGAAAAATGAAAGTTTATATCAGAAATTTGTTGTGTTCATAACTTTTTAATAAACAATGAGCGACGGCTAGATCCTTTCGATTGTTACTTATAGACATGTCTCTGACAACATATGCCAAGGCCAAGGTCATCGAGGCTAAGTCCGTTTTTGTAAACATTTATTATTAAATTTAAACTACAATAGTTTCTTAATGTGTACCATCTTCAAAATCAATTGTTTGTAGAAATTGGTTTCGCGATCAAGTATTATAACGTTTTTCCAATCAAACAAGCGATCGAGTTCTAGTCTGTGTTTCGAAATGACAACAGAGGTGTCAGTTTTAAGACGCTTGCAGCATGTAGCAGTTTTTGACTATATAAGTATGGACTGCTAGTTCCCCCATTTTTACTATGTTAAAGGCATATGCCCGGTGTCGCCGAGCTGAAGTTGACTGAGATATCGAAGTGCAATTTATTGGCTCCACCCCTGTCAGTAAATGCCGGAAAATTCAAATTGCTCGAAAGTTGCCATGTTTTTTATATTATTTATTCTTTATTGTTGAATATCTATTTACAAGTAAAAAAAATTTACAGGTTAGAGATACCTAACTCACCTGTAAAATGGCAAAACTGGCTTCTTCTCGTCATGTTTGCGTTTGTACGTCGACAATTTGCATCCATAAACAAAACAATACATTTTTGATAAAAGAAAAAATCAAACTCAGCATAAACACATTAACAGCAATAACTACGCAGTAAATGCACGAAACAGTAAACGGGAATTTCACGTTGATTTCACCATTGACGCCATTTTTACAGAAGCTTTTCCACTCTTGCAGAAAATTAGTAATTGGGGCGGAGCTTACATGTTTGCAGCTTGGCGACACGTCTGAAGTTACTAGCAGTCTATACTACCATGATCAAAAAATAACCGGAGTTTATTCATAAAAAGAAAAGTACATGTTTATTCTTCAAAATTCAAGTTGTCCCCTTCAAAGTAGTCCCCGTCGGCTGCAATGCACTTGTGCCAGCGTTTGATCCACTCCTCGAAGCTTTTCTGGAAGTCGGTTTTTGGTATAGCCATTAGTGCCTCCAGCGATTTTAGCTTTATTGCCTCCACACTCTCAAAACGAGTTCCTCGTAGTGGTTTTTTGAGTCGATCGAATAGGAAGAAGTCACATGGTGCCAGATCAGGTGAATTGGGCGGTTGTTGAATGGTATTGGTTGAATGGTGTTGTTTTTGACGAGAAACTCACGAATAATCAACGCATTATGAGATGGCGCATTATCGTCATGGAGAATCTACGAGTTGTTGCCCCACAAAGCAGGTCTTTTTTTGCGGATAGCTTCGCGTACGGATCCGAATGATATGTTGGTGTTCTCAGCTATCTCCCTTATCGTCAATTTGCGATTTTCGATCAACAATTGTCGGATTTCATCGACGTTTTCATCAGTTTTCGATGTCGATGGCCTCCCAGGACGAGCATCGTCCTCAACAGCCTCACGACCACTTTTAAAGCGTTCATACCACTGGTACACCTGTGTTTTTAATAGAGTATCGTCACCATAACACTTTTGTAACATTTTTAATGTGTCGGAACACTTAATTTCATTTTTATAACAAAATTTAATGCAAGCCCTTACGAAAAAGAACTACTAGCAGTAATATATTGCGGCAGTGGTACGAAAAAATGACTGGCATTCTGTGTAATTGCCAGTAATATTCTCAGTGAATCCTGTAATATCTAATAATATTCTTATGTGATTGTCAGTAACATTTATATTACTGACTTTATTTATATGTAATCGGCAGTAGTTCTTTTTCGTAAGGGAGAACGTTGTCCAAGTTTTGAATCCATTGTAAAAATCGCCGCGACGTAAAAACTTGATGTAAAGAAATCACTGTCATAAAGGTAAATGGACAGCTGATAAGCAGAAGCTTGGCATGGGTGTCCGTAACAGTGCTGCCAACGTGACACAAACAACAGAATTCTAAACCGATAAGCCCGCGAGGTTTAAATTAAAAATTCCGGTTATTTTTTNATCATGGTAGTATATACAGGGTCCGCCACT